GCTGAGGCTCTGCGATGGTGCAGGTCTATCTTACTCCTTCAAATTCAGTGATGCAGCTGGAGTTTTCAGTAATGAACTTTCAAGGATTCAATCACTTTAAAGCTTTTGGACAGTGGCAATTATCTGAAAACATTCCTACAGGTTTATCTTCTTCGTTTACATTTGTTTGCTCTCTCCATCTCATTCAAAGCAGTCAGCACTGGTTTGCTTCACTCTTCTCTGGAAATTTGCACTAGGAACCATTGTTAGAATCAGAATTCTGATCTGAGAGCACGATGAAAAATGTTGCACTCCAACTTGGACATTTGAGAGGAAACTGTTCATGTATACATCAGTATTGTACTCAAACAGCTGCTTACACCTTTTAACTTTTAAACCTGAGAAGCAACAGGTAGTTTCTTCGTTGCCCTCGGGGATAGTGTACTCTTCTGTAATTTGCTTCTATACAAACAGCTCAAAATTTTTAAGTCATGTTGTCAGTCATACCACCAAACAACCTTGCATGGCATTACATGTTCTCCCCCCAGATAGATCTTGCCCTGAATGCGAGACCAGACAAGGAAATAATGCCGGCACATAAAACTAACTTGTAAATACATCCCTTTTTGGCATTTTTTTGTTTTGTTTTGACGCTTTGTGGGGCTTAGCTGTACTTCATTGAGAAGAATGTCTTCTGGTGTGAACTGAAATTATACCTCTATGCCACAATGTCCCTTTATATATTTATTTATTTATTGGGGGGGGGCGGGGGGGGGGGGGGAGAGGAGGGTGTTGATAATTCCTTGTGGACACCTGAAGGAGTTGCAAAATAATAAAATTTAGGTGAAGGAAAGGTTCCTTCTCTTAATTTTTGTTGTTGTTGTTTTTCTTTTCCATCTGGTCATAAAATGAAGGTCCCATTTTCTGGCTTTTGGCAGATTGCAAGCATGCTGGAACCATTCACATTACGTAGACTGTATTTGTCTGAAATGATAATATCATACCTATAGTCTGCTGCAGGCTCAAAAGCAGCTTATGCCTCTTGGACTCTTTTATGCCTTTGCTTTTGTTACTACATCCTTGTAAGCCTTCAACAGAGAAATTAAATTACCCTATACAGAAGAAACACCATCCAGAAGAAACTTCAGGTGCTAGGGCCTGAATTTTCATTGAAACCAAAGGCAAGTATCTCACTGATGTGAAGAAAAGGGCTTTAATCTATCCTGGTTTGTTTACTAATGAAGGAGCGTGAAAGAGATGCATGTCCTTGTCTCTGAAGAGGAGGTGAAGGAACAGCTAGTGCTAAGAACACAAAATTCAGTTATGCTGAACTAGCAGGTGGTTGTATCCCAGCTTGGAGACTGCAACACAGAATCACCTAGGTTGGAAGAGACCTCCAAGATCACGTAGTCCAACCTCTGATGTAACACTATGTTGTGGTTTAACCCGGCCAGCAGCTAAACACCACACAGCCATTCACTCACCCTCTCCCCTCCCTCTCTGGGACGGAAAGTGAAGCCCGTGAGTTGAGATAAAGACAGTTTAATAAGACAGGAAAACAATAATAATAATAATAATAATAATAATAATAATAATAATAATACAATGATGATAATAGTACTACTAATAATAATGTGTACAAACAAGTGATGCACAATGCAATTGCTCACCACCCGCTGAGCAATGCCCAGCCTAACCCCAAGCAGTCCGGCCCCCCTCTCCCGGCTAGCCACCCCTATATATTGTTTAGCATGACGTCAGATGGTATGGAATACCCCTTTGGCTAGTTTGGGTCACCTGTCCTGGGTCTGTCCCCTCCCAGCTCTTGCTGCACCCCCAGCCTGCCTGTTGGCAGGACAGAGCAAGAAGCTGAGACGTCCTTGGCTTGGTGTAAGCACTGCTCTGCAACAATTAAACCATCAGGGTGTTATCAGCACTCTTCTCATCCTAAGCCAAATCATAGCATTCTACCAGCTTCTAGGAAGAAAATTAACTCTGTTCTAACTGAAACCAGGACACACTAACAGGTCCTCCACTAAGCCGTATCCCTAAGCTCTACACCTAAACATCTTTTAAAGACCTCCAGAGATGGTGACTCTACCACTACCCTGGGCAGCCCATTCCAATGCCTAACAACCCTTTTGGTGAAGAAGTTCTTCCTAATACCCAACCTAAACTTCCCCTGGTGCAACTTTAGCCCATTCCCCCTTGTCCTATCACCAGGCACATGTGAGAATAGACCAATCCCCACGTCGTTACAGCCTCCTTTAAGGTATCTGTAGAGTGCGATAAGGTCACCCCTGACCCTCCTCTTCTCCAGACCGAACAATCCCATCTCCCTCAGCTGCTCCTCGTAAGACTTGTTCTCCAGATCCCTCACCAGCTTTGTTGCCCTTCCCTGGACTCACTGGAGCCCCTCAATATCCTTCTTGTAGTGAGGGGCCCAAAACTGAACACAGCACTTGGGGTGTGGCCTCACCAGAGCCAAGTACAGGGGGACAATTGCTTCCTTAGTCCTGCTGGCCACACTGTTTCTTATACGAGCCAGGATGCTGTTGGCCTTCTTGGCCACCTGAGCACACTGCTGGCTCATATTCAGTTGACTAGCCACCAGTACTCCCAGGTCTTTCTCTGCCAGGCAGCTTTCTAACCACTCAGATGGCTTTTCCATCCATCTTCAAACTTCCAGATCTAGAGGAACACTTTGGCTGCAGCCTAAAAGCCACGTGTACGTAAGCTGCTGCAAGCCAGCCAATCTTCTCCCCATCACCTGCCAGGAAACAACAATGTAGGCAGGTAACCAAATTAAAGCCAAAATTTGCAGCCCAGTCCTTGACCTGAATAGTGAGTGAGGATCTGGATCCTGGCATTTATGCGTGATAGCTTCTATGCAGCTGAAGTAAATACACCCCGGGTGCCCTGAGCTGGAGGACCACGACAGTGGGAATGATAAACTCCCAACCGACCCTGAACATGGATTTGCTGCTCCACCTGGATCTGTACAAGTCTGTGGGTCCAGATGGGATTCATCCCAGGGTGCTTAAGGAGCTGGCTGATGCCATCGCGGGACCTCTCTCAATTATTTTTCAATGATCTTGTGAATCTGGAGAGGTCCCAGTGGACTGGAAGCTGGCAAATGTCACACCAATTTTCAAGAAGGGCAAGAAAATAGACCGTGGCAACTACAGGCCTGTCAGTCTCACATCAGCACCTGGTAAAATTATGAAGACGATCCTTGAAGTTCTTGAAGTGCACCTGGGGGACAATGCATTCATTGGTCCCAGCCAACATGGGTTCATGAGGGGTAGGTCCTGCCTAACAAATCTGAATTCCATTTATGATAAGATCACTCATCTAGTTGATCAAGGGAAACCAGCTGATGTGATCTTTCTGGACTTGAGCAAAGCTTTTGACACTGTTTCCCATGGGATCCTACTGGACAAAATGTCCAGCATACAAATTAACAAAAACATCATACGATGGGTGAGCAATTGGCTGACCGGCAGGGCTCAAAGGCTTGTGGTAAATGGGGCCACATCAGGCTGGCGCTTGGTCACTAGTGGGGTCCCTCAAGGCTCCATTTTAGGGCCAGTCCTCTTCAATGTTTTTATAAATGATTTAGATGTAGGACTAGAAGGTGTTTTGAGCAAATTTGCTGATGGCACCAAACTTGGAGGAGTTGTAGACTCAGATGAGGGTGGAAAGGCCTTGCAGAGAGATCTGGGCAGATTGGAGAGCTGGGCGATCACCAACCGCATGAAGATTAACAAGAGCAAGTGCTGGGCCCTGCACCTGGGACGGGGCAACCCTGGCTATACGTACCGACTGGGTGACGAGATGCTGGAGAGCAGCCTCGCACAGAGAGATCCAGGGGCGGTGGTTGACAGCAAGTTGAACATGAGCCAGCAGTGTGCCCTGGCAGCCAGGAGGGCCAACCATATCCTGGGGTGCATCAAGCACGGCATTGCTAGTCATTCGAGGGAAGTGATTGTCCCGCTCTACTCTGCGCTGATGCGGCCCCACTTTGAGCACTCAGTGCAGTTCTGGGCACCACAGTACAAAAAGGACATTAAACTGCTGAAGAGTGTCCAGAGGAGGGCAACGAAGATGGTAAAGGGCCTAGAGGGGAAGACGTATGAGGAGCGGCTGAGGTCACTGGGCCTGTTCAGCCTGGAGAAGGGGAGGCTGAGGGGGGACCTTATTGCAGCGTACAACTTCCTCGCGAGTGCGAGTGCAGAAGCAGCTGCTGACCTATTCTCTGTAATCACCAGTGATAGGACCCACGGGAACGGTGTTAAGCTGAGGCAGGGAAGGTTTAGGCTGGATGTCAGCAAGAGGTTCTTCACCGAGAGGAGAGGGGTCGCACACTAGAACAGGCTTCCCAGGGAACTAGTCACTGCACCAAGCCTGTCTGAATTTAAGAAACGATTGGACTGTGCACTTAGTCACGTGGTCTAAACTTTTGGGTAGACCTGTGTGGTGCCAGGAGTTGGACCTGATGATCCTTATGGGTCCCTTCCAACTCGGGATATTCTATGATTCTATCATTCTATAAATAGTGTATTCAGAGGTCATGGGGCTAGATTTAGAAAAGTCCTGCATAAAGAAGGGATCTCAGAAAAGAAAATTTAAATAACATTTATATCAAGAAAAGGAATTCTGATTGCTAAATTCTTTATCTGTCATGACTAGACAGATGAAAATCTATGACGGCAATTTTGCCTTTTAGGTCATTTCATTTTATTCATTTCTTTTATTTATTTGTATTTATTTTTTTTTTTTAACAGGCTCTGTACTAATTTTCCTCACAGAATGACTAACTCTAACCGCTAAGCCCCTTGTCAGGTTATTTCTACTAGTGATAAGTAACAATAGACCTTAAAACTTTGAAGCCAGGTAGACGAGCTTATTCCACAAGGTTTCTTGGCTCCACCCTTGTTAAGTGAAACCTGCCAGGTGTGGGTTATTTGACCTTTGCTATATAGGAAGCCTGAGGACTTGTGGGGGAATTGCCTCCCTAGGAGAGACTGAGGCTTGGGTTGCCTAGGATGCTTTTCTCTTGTGGTGAATTTGGCTCAGTGTTCCACACTAGGCTGCTTTTCCTTCATGTTTTATGCCCTCTCTGTGAAGTAGTTTTAGAGACTCTATGAGCTAGTTACATTGGTGGTGCCTTCTTCAGTAAAACCCTGGTGGCACTATTTCACTGCGAAGCACTTTGGAAGTGACTCGAGTTCAGAAGACAGCAGGTAAGAGTTCCTGGGTTCTGTGGTTGTTACTGTTGAGGAGTTTGAGTACTTCCTTCACCTTGTCTGTTTCCTGTGAAATTACTTAGGTGCATTCTAAGCTCCCATCCAAGCACTGGAGAAAAAGCCCTCATAAGCCCAAGTGCACACAGGTAAGCCTGACTTTGAAGAATGTTCTCATTTGGAAGATGGAAAAATGGGCTGTGTGAAAAAGGTGTCTTAATGTGAATGCAGATTTTGCCTTGTGGTAAGTAGAAACAGATTGGGATGGATACTGGTTGAATGATTGCTACTTTGACTAAGTGGAAATCCTGAGAATGTGCTGTTGTTCATAAAACAAATACAGTTTTCACAATATGCAGGTCAAAAGCTGTATGAAGAAAGTCTGTCAACTTCCCTTCAGGCCTGAGTCTCAGCTGCAGAGTACTTTTTGAACAGGTCCACCAACTTGAAGAGAATTGATCTTCCTCCCAAGCTCTATGAAACGGTGTCTCAGCTATCAGGGGTAAGTATCCTTCTGTGCAAGGAAGATGACAGAGTGGGTACACATGCCATGCAAAACCAAGGACAAGAATTGCAAGAAAAAGAATTCTTCTGCCGGGCAGAATTCTTCATCTCTGATAAAAACTTTTCTAAGTAGCAAGTCTCCTTTTTGACACATTTTTATCTTGAAGTAGAGAGAGTGCCCCACATGTGTTTTTAAAGGAATGGAAATTTTTGTTACGAGAAATCACTCAGGTAATCTGTATTGACATGTTCATTATCATCAACAAGTTTTCCATAGCAGCCTCAAATTAATGCTTATTTATTAGGGCAAGTTTTGCTAAGAACTGCTGTAGCACAGTAAATGGAAAATAGATCAGTGCCAGCGCAGTTTGCTTTGTGAAGAGCCATTCTTGCTGGGGAGCAATGCAACCAATCAAAGAGCATTAGACATATCAGGATGGGGTAGGGGGAGGTTTTCCTTCCATGGTGGGGCTGGTTTGTACAACCACAGTGCCAGGCAGGCTGCAAAAAAGACTGCTGCAAGGCAGCTGTGGTCCCAATGATGATTGAACTCATTAGCTTAGCCTCCTCTTTACCGTGGTAGGCTTGAAGTACTGAATTGCTTTTTCTGTTTTCTCTCTTAAACATTGCTGCTGCTCTGTGTAGGTACCTTTTCACAGACAATTAAAAGACCAAAGAGAGGAGCAGGAGTGAGAGGGAAGACACTGGGTGTTAATTAGATTTTTTTTTTTACAAGTAAATGAACCCGTCACGCAAAGGGAGTGTCTGAGATTTGTTGTCACTGTTACTATTTTCAGCACTTCAAGCCTTTACCAGACATGAGGAGTTTCAATAATGAAAGATTTTTTTCTTTGGGGTTGTGGGATGGAAGACAGAACCCACTTCTTCACCATATCTAAAATTTGCTCCCTAAAAAACTTATGCCAAAACAATGCTAATATTGTTCTATAGAATGAAGAATATAAACATATAAAAGCTATATTTTGCAATGAATCAAACACTTAAAATTCTGGTATTTTTACCTCAATTTATCAGTGAAACCTAATTTTTATTGAAAATGAACACAAACAGAAAAAATCTCCCAGTGTGAATAACACCCTTTAATTCCACTGTTACATCTTTAATTTATATATATATACATACACACACACATGCATATATAAACTTAGTGAGGAACAATGATAAAAAGAATAGCTTATTTCATGAAACTAGACGTACTCTCAAACCATTTGTGTGTCTTCTGCGGTCCATATGCTACTGGAATAAAAGGTGCAGAAAATCAGATTTCATCCACCTCTACAAGCAGCGGGAGGTGCTGTGCTCACGGTGTGGTGGGCTCTGTGCTTCAGAGTGAGCTGAGAAATATTCACAGTATCTGAAGCAATTGCAGAAGGAAGTTTTAGACCATACTGAAATGTGTCTAAATGGAGAAAGTGTTTTGCTTCTTTTTGATAATTTAGTTTTCCAGGTGGGACTTTGGTGGCTAAGTCTTGTTCCCCAACCAATCCCTCAAGATTTATGGGGCACTGCATGTTTAAATAAACTAGAAATCTAGATGTGGGTGCATATAGCCTTTCATGTATGTACTGGATTTATTCCAACAACAGGACACCTATCCCTTGCCCTGGCACCATACTGAGGCAGTTGTTCCCTGCCACGTCACTAAATCCCACCTCCAACCCTCTTGGGGGCTCCTAATTCCCACTGTTTCTGGAGACTTGTGGCTTCTGCCTTGGCAGTAAGGCTTTTGTGCCAGTAAAAGGACACAGTTCTATGTTAGCAGCAACTGTGAGCATAGAGGCTGGAGCATTAGCAAGCAGAATTAGTGGGTTTGCCAGCAGCTATTTAGATTAGATTAAAGAAGGTGTTAGGAGAAATTAGCTGGCGATGGGGTTGGAGATAGTGATAGGGGTCAGTGGGGACATTAGGGAGCACACAGGGACAAGACTTTCTATACTGTGGCATCCTCAGGCTCAGGGTAAGGTTTGCATCAGGTGTCAGAGGGAGATGGGTGGGCATAGAGTAGACACACTCTGTCAGGTCTGCATGAGCATTGCTATCCACTCCTGTCCTGACCCACAAATCCATCCCTAGAAATTGCCCGGTGTGATGCCTTCAGAGTGCTGTAGAAATTCACAGCTGTGTTGGGAAAACAGGACAAAACTGAGCACTTCCCAGGTGGAACTGCCCTCCCCAGGTCAGACCATGAGCTGATTTCACAAAGTTGATATAGGTTTCTGAGGACATTGCAGTTTCTGATGGGACCTACATGACCAGGAGAGCCTTACCTTCTGCAGCATCACTGCCTTCATCAGCCGACAGCAGCCCTTCACTATGAATAATGCCTGACACATCATCATCTCCCTCTTCATCCCCTGCTTCATGCTGTTGGAGCCCATGGCCCAAACTGCCATGTCATGATTGCAATCCTGCTCCACCTCACACTTCAGCTGGAAAGGAGTGTCTTTGTCTTTCCTCTGCTGTGCTTCCATCTCTTGTCTGTAGGTGATGGAAATGAGCCTTGAGGGGATACAGCTGGCTTGTTTATCTTGATCCTTGTAGACAAGTGACTGCTGAAAGTGCCCTCTGCTTTTTCGTTTTTCCACGTGGTAATAAATACTTCTTGCCTCTACATCCTCCCTCCCCTTTCAAGCACTTTGCATCACCCCCAATAATTACAATAACCAGATACACCACAGGATGATGCAGAAACATTTTGAGTTTGCAGTTTTCCCTTTCTCCCTGATGGCACCCATAGTGGTTTGGGAAGACTTTTGCAGACTTCATAAAGCTGAATCAGATATTTGGTCTCATACTTGCTCTGCATAATACACCCCTGTCTCACAATCCACCATTCCTAGAGGAACAGTGTAGTGTAGAGGATGTGAACGTCATTAAAGGCGACTATGTAGAGGGAGTTTGCCTCAAATCCAGAGGCTGGTGCCAGCAACAGTTGCTCCCCTGAGCCATCTCAGGCAGGAGAAGGATGGCAGGTGAATAAAGGTCTGCATGGAAGGGAAAGTCCCTGGAGAAGTAGTTTATATGGTCTGAAAAAAAATGACCAACAATAAGCTTTTGGGAAACGAGACTCAGATTGGAAGGTAAAATGATTAAAAAAAAAAAAAAGAGTATTTTTTAGGTTTTAGCTCTGATTAGTGTATATAACAAGTACAAATCCTAAAAGAACAAAGGTTACAACAAGAAATGTCAAGGAAATGCCGTAAATCACAATATTTTTATTATTTTTATTTTTTTTCAAAAATACAGATGCTACCATGAATGTCAACAAGGCCGATGGGTCCCTTTATTCAAATACCTTCCCAAAACAAAGGGGGCACAGAGGTCAACAGCTTTGGACCATCATCAGCTCTGTATACCATACTATGATGGCACAGTATTCCCCACTACCATACATCTGACCTACACAGAAATTAATTTCATAGTGCTAAAAAGAAAAATCTCAACAACTCCAACTAAAAATGGAGGTATACAAAATAAACAAATTTCTACCTCTGGGTGGGTAGTCTGCTTACACTGAAACAGTAGCAGCACTAATGAGAATAGCAGTTTGGAAGCAGGAGAAATTAGTATTTGGGAACACGAAGGTTAAATCTTCACAGAATCACAGAAGGGTTGAGGTTGGCAGGGACCTCTGGAGGCCACCTGGCTCACCCAGAGCAGGATGCCCAGGACCATGTCCAGGTGGCTCTTGAATATCTCCAAGGAGGAGACTCCACAACTTCTCTGGGCAGCCTGTGCCAGGGCTTAGTCACCCTCACATTGTTTTGTGATGTTCAGAGGGAGCCTACTGGGCTCCAGTTGGAGCCCATTGCCTCCTGTCCTGGCGCTGGGAACCACCCTCATTGCACCCTTCCTTCAGGTGTTTATAGACATTGATAAGATTCCCCCCTTTCAATCTTCAAAGAAACAGAATATATCAAAGTTTGAAGCCAAAGTATAATCTGTTGATTTCATATATTTTTAAAATTTCATTTTTATAAGAAAAATGCTTATTATTATAATTTTATAATTGTTGTTACAATTTCTGCTTTATGGTTTGGTTTAGTTCCCTTCCTTCTTTGCCGTCGTTTTTCTCGTTTATTTGTTGGTTAGCTGTTCGTGTGCCTGTTCTTACTGGGTTTTGCAGCCCCCTGCTGGAGAACCAAGCCCCCCCCAGGCCCTCCCCAGGTGCCGGCATCCCGCGGTGGCGGCGCGGGGCCGCCAGGTGGCGGCATTGCACCGCCCGGGGAGCCCCACCGGGCCTCACGGTCCTTGCGGCCAAAAAACCCCGATGCATTAAATCTGGGTACATCGCCCGGCTTTATTGACCTGACGAGAACTTTACGAGGCTGTTTACCAGGTCCTTCTCTTCCCCTGTGCCTGGTTCCCGTGTATTTATCACCGGAGGGATTCAGTGCATCTTCCCTGCAAAGAAATCGTTAACCAGGTGTGGGTAAGTTTTTGTGAGAAGTTGGATTTTTCCTTTTCCAGAAGTAGAGGTGGCGTGTGCAGCACAAAAATACTCACAACTGAAAGTTAAAAGGCAGTTTGTTACCTTAATTGTGGGAATGTATTGCTCTGTGGTGCATTATATGACTTTTCTCTCAGTAAGTCCACATAAATGAAATGTGCAAAATAACTACTTTCTCCCTGCACAAGTGTTTCTTGCTTTTCTATTATGAACTCTGAAGTGGCTATAAAAGCTCCATTTCTGAATGGAAAAAAATATGCAAAAATCCACCATTTCTGGGAAATGGTTGGGATACTTCTGTTTGGTCAGACCAGTCAGCAGTGTCCATAGAAACTGCTGCATAAAGCTAGATGAGAGATAAAGCATCAGTAGATAAAGCTGCACAGAATTCAGTGGGCTTCAGCCCTCTGCATTTCACCTGGTCTTTCTACACCCTGCCTTTAGAAGTATTTCAAGGAAAAAAAAAAAAAAAAAAAAAAAAAAAAAGGGAAAAAAAGTGAAGCAAGCATTAAAATGCATCAAACTTGGCATATTTTGACAGATTCTCTGTCACTTTTTTTTTTCCAGTGCAAATTAGGTACATTTTTTCAAAAAAATACAAAATAAATATGAAATACAATTAGTTAAAACCACTTGGCCCCAGCCCTTCCCCTTTGGAAAATGTTTCTAAAATTTTTCTCAGGGTCACTGTGAAACATCACTCCTCAACAGAGGCTTGTGAGGATTTCCATGCTAGAGCAACC